AGTGTCAATTAAAAATGTCATCTCAAAAAATAAATTAAATTTTTTTTATTTGACAGGCAGAGTTAGACAGTGAGAGAGAGAGAGAGACAGAGAGAAAGGTCTTCCTTCCGTTGGTTCACCCCCCAAATGGCCGCTACGGCTGGCACACTGCGCTGATCCGAAGCCAGGAGCCAGGTGCCTCCTCCTGGTCTCCCATGTGGGTGCAGGGGCCCAAACACCCGGGCCATCCTACACTGCTTTCCTGGGCCACAGCAGAGAGCTGGAGTGGAAGAGGAGCAGCCGGGACTACAACCCGGCGCTTATATGGGATGCCGGCGCCACAGGCAGAGGATTAACCAAGTGAGCTATGGCACCAGCCCCAAAATAAATTAAATATTTTTAAAGAAAAACAGAGAACCCCCTGAAGATGACTCAGTAAAGAAATCAACCACCTGCAGACCATCCTGAACCATGCGAGTTATTTTTCCTGCCTTCTTGCCTCTCTCCCTGAGAGTAACAGTTTTTGAAGTTTCCTAAACTCTAGTCATTCTAGCACTGCCACTTTATTTTTTCCACACTGTGACACTAATTTTTTAAATAAATACTTTTTATTTAAATCAGCTTACTTTCTCTTTGCTTAAATGAATTTTTTTTTAACAAGAAATTATGGTGTCATTGCCTGGAAAAGAAAAACATAGTGAGTTGACAAAGATAATGATAGTCATAAAAACACTGAAACACACAATTATTAAGAGGAGAAATTTCATGTTTATATCCAACGACTGTCTCACAAGCCAACAGGAATACTTGTGTCCCACTCTAAAAATAGCAGCAGAGGCTGGGCCAGGTCAGAGCCAGGAGCCAGGCATTCAATCCAGGTTTCCCACGTGGGTGGCAGCGACCCAGGTACTTGAGTTACCACTTGCTGCCTCCCAGGGTGTGCAGTAACCGGAGGCTGGAATAAGAGGCAGAGCCGGGAATCAACTCCAGGCACTACATCCAGGACATGGTCCCAAACTATCACACTCCCACCCCATCAATGAATTTGTTGAAGTACCCTCACATATGGTGGGGGCAGGTAACAACAGCCAAGAGATAAGGATTCCTATGGTGAGTTTTTTATTTGGGTTCATTGCAGCCCAATTTCCAGTCCTTAGTGATATAATGCCATTTTCCTACCTTGGTCAGGAGAGAACGCCCCTCCCAAAGAAATCTCTATGGCTCGCTGCCTGCCAAAAAAGTCAGATCCAGCGGTGCTGTTAGCCTTCCTCAAGTGACTTTGGCCTGAAATAAACAATATGCCCCTTGTGTATATTTGGGGACTGCCCCTCCCTAACTCCTTCACCTCTCAAGGCTGTCCCCACTCATCTCTTTAAGATTTATTTACTTACTAATTTATTTATTTATTTACTTATTTATTTGAAAGACAGAGACATAGAGATCTTCCATCCACTAGTTCATTTCTCAAATGGCCGCAATGGCCAAGGCTGGTCCAGGACAAATCTGGGAAATAGGAACTCCATCCTGGTCTTCCATTAGGAGGAAGGGGCCCGAGTACTTGGACCATCTCCTGATGCCTTCCCAGGCACATTAGCAGGGACCTGGATTGGAAGTGGAAAAGCCAGGACTTGAACTGGTGCTCTGATATGAGAGGCTGGTGTTGCAGGTAGCAACTTAACCCACTGCACCACAATGCCAGCTCCATCCCCCTCCCTTTTAAACCACTGCTGCTGCCCTCATCATCTCCTGTTGGACCTTTGTCAGGAAAAAAACACAATTCCTCCTCAACGCTCCTACGTTCATAGGTGGGACAGACCCCTGTAACACAGGACAGATTAACAAGAGAAAAGCAAGCAGTTAATTAATAAACTCAGGCAGTGTACATCCCACGGGAGAAACCTCAACAATGACAGGCAACTCAAAGAGTGGTTTAGAATCCTGGCTTCCGTGGTGTCTGCCACAAAGAGCATGGAGACGTGACAGGACAACACAGAACGGTTTAGGCTTCCGAAGGTGGGAAAGCAGCGAAAGGTAAATGCACAGTAAGAATGGAAGGGAGTGAGGCTTGATTGTCGGTTCCTCTGGTGCCAGCTCTGGGCTGGTGAGAGGTGTCCCCAGTGACGGAGAATTTATATCCTCCCTTGCACAGAGAGCAGAGGGAAGGAGGGCACTCTTCCTCTCTTGGCCGTTTCACATTTGCCTTGAGCTCAAAAATATCCATGATCTGTTTGGGAGTGACATATTCCAGTTTCCTTCCTACTAATAAAAGTGCTTTCATTGGTCTCTGCCTTTAGTTTGAGATTCCCTTTTTTTTTTTTTTTTTTTGACAGGCAGAGTGGACAGTGAGAGAGAGAGACAGGTGAGAAAGGTCTTCCTTTTGCCGTTGGTTCACCCTCCAATGGCCGCACCGCGCTGATCCAAAGGCAGGAGCCAGGTGCTTCTCCTGGTCTCCCATGGGGTGCAGAGCCCAAGCACTTGGGCCATCCTCCTCTGCACTCCCGGGCCACAGCAGAGAGCTGGCCTGGAAGAAGGGCAACCGGGACAGAATCCGGCGCCCCTACCGGGACTAGAACCTGGTGTGCCGGCGCCGCAGGTGGAGGATTAGCCTAGTGAGCCGCGGCAGTGGCCTGCAATTCCCTTTCAACCCAATTACATTCTACACAGCTACCTGGGGGAGACTTCACTCACTCCCTTGCTTACAAGTCCTCAACAACGCCTTATTGAATAGAGACTGGAGCTGAACCTCTCTCTCTCTGCCTCTGTGTGTGTGTATGTGTGTCTGTCTGTCTGTGTCTCTCACACACAGAGAGCAAGCTGTATGTTCGACTCCTATGGAATTTCAGCCAGTTTTCTGTTTGTTTGTTTGTTTTTGACAGGCAGAGTTAGACAGTGAGAGAGAGAGACAGAGAGAAAGGTCTTCCTTCTGTTGGTTCACTCCCCTAATGGCCGCTGCGCTGGTCTGAAGCCAGGAGCCAGGTGCTTCTTCCTGGTCTCCCATGCAGGTACAGGGCCCAAGCACTTGGGCCATCCTCCACTGCCTTCCCTGGCCACAGCAGAGAGCTGGACTGGAAGTGGAGCAACCGGGACAAAATCCAGCACCCCAACCGGGACTAGAACCCGGGGTGTCGGTGCCACAGGTGGAGGATTAGCCTAGTGAGCCGCAGCACCAGTTTTCTGAACATTCCAGTTTTACAGCTCTGTTGATTCTCTCGAGAAGGACATTCCCTCCTCCATTGTTTGTCCACCCAACTAACCCTGGTTCCTAAGTCAGGACTCAGCTTGGGGGTTACATTCCCGAGAGAGTGTTGCCTGATCCTCCAACAGAGTCGAGACTTCTGTCCTGCCTGCAATGTGTGCTGAACACGTGTCAGCCCCGGGGTCTGTGCTGCCTTACCACACTCACCTGTTCACTTTTCTCTCTCCTGCAAAACTTTAGCTCCTCAACCGTAGAGAAAATATTCTAAGTATTTTTGTAACCCTAGTGATTAGCAAAAAATAAACATACCACCCATTGTAAATCAGAGAATTATTGACTTTCTACAGCAATTAATGAATGGTGACTCACCTGCTATTGCACTTGGGAAAAAAGAAGATGGCCCAAGTGCTTGGGCCACTGCCACTCATGTGGGAGACAGGGATGGAGTTCTGGGCTCCTGGGTTCAGCCTGGCCCAGCCCTGGTCATTGCAACCAATTGAGGAGTGGATGGAAGATCTCTCTCTCTCTCTTTGTAACTCTGCCTTTCAAATAAATAAAATAAATCTTAAAAAAAAAAGACTTAAGTAAACAAATGAGTTAGTGTGAGGGAAAAAAATGTCAAGACTGCAATAATGTGAGTAAAAATCAGTGTGGCCAATGTTGTGAGGATCGGACCAGAATGACGCTGGAGAGACGTTGGGCTGTGCGGGCCAGGCAATCAGGACCCAAAGAAGCCAGATGATGATGTTCCGCAGCTCAAGCATGTGTCGAATCTGGGTGCAGACGTGAAATCAGTCAAGTAAACCTGACACTGACCCGTCTATGCAGGCTCTGCTTGCTGAATACAGAAAGCTTTTGTAGTTATGTCAAAATATTCAAAAATAATTGTGACTCCAGGAACCACCTGGAAGGCAGCAAGGGAAGGGAGAGAAGAAAGAGGGGGAAACCCTACCTACAGCACCGTCGCTGTCGGAGCAGAGTCGGAACACGTGGGCCGGGTGCTGCTGAACCTCAGGCAGGGAATTGAATGAGGCTCAGACAACACGTATAACAGCAAGAGTTTATTATAGGAAGGAAAATACACTCCTTGAGAGTGCGCAACAGGCCATCAGATCAGAGACCCAAGACCCCTAAGCCATTTGTAGCAGTGATTAGGCATTGAGTGAGGGGCTCTGGGTGTGGTTTTAAGACCAACTGATGTGCAGGCATGTGGCCATTATCATATTCATTCATCCAGCTCCTAAGTGACACTATCCTGTATCTTCATATAGCTTTTAAGAGAAAGTTGTCCCAGACTCACAATTTCTTTCACAAGTAATTTATTGATCATGCAATTAGAGAAGCAGGACTTCTTTAGTTGCTATCTTATCTGTTTAAACTGGAATTGCTCTCTCTTTTTTTTAATTGACTTTATGTCCATTTCCCCAACTGGTCCTTACCTGTCTCTTGCCTCAACTTCTCCAGTTCATCCTCCTCTGCCTCCTGCCTCAAGGGTGAGGATAAGAGAAGCAAAGGCAGAGAAAAGGAGAAACAGCCCGAGACCACAGAGACTTTTGGAATTTGTTTATCTCAGCTCCCTCAGTTAACCCTTGGTTGTCTCCTGCCTCACCATGGCATGGCCCCAAGGTATCCACACCCCGATTTTCCTGCCTCCACGCCAGTGGACGAGCCCAGCGTTGGGAACAGTCCCTGGAAGACTGGGTGAAGTGATCAGTCATTCCGCGCTGTCCTCTTCATCACGCTGGGAGCTCTGCCGGCTGGGATTTTTGCTGCCTTGGCAAGCACAATGATGGTGTCAAAGCTAATGTTTCCTAAATTCTTGCAGAAATGCTGAGAAGACTTCCGTGGGGGCCTATTGTCAATTATCAGGGAGAAGAGAAGTGTGTAGACGTTAGAAACAAGGACTGTGCGAGGTGAGGCTCTGGGTTTTAATGAGAAGGATTCAAATTAGAATGTTGGCTATTTCCTATCGCCGGCTAAAAATAACCTGGGTGCCTGCTTCTTCCTTCCCTCAAGCTTCATGTGCAGAGTCTGTTCGTGCTGAAGATGCAGGAGGGCTGGAAACGGCTCCTTGGGATCCAGCACCAGGGCTGTGGGCTCAGAGAAACGTGACTGAGCTGTGATCTGCTCTCCCATGCCCCGGTCAGACACACTTGAGGAACCTTGAAGGTGATAAGGTAAGAACAAACATCAAGCTCTACTGGTTTCACCTCTTCAATCTCTCCTCCCATCACTGCCACCAGCTTAGCCCAGGCTACCATGCTATCTTGTCTGGGCCTCTGCAAAACCCTACTGCCTGCTCCTCCCACCTTGAACCTGCCTTCCCCTCCCCACTCCCAGTCCCATCGTAGCTAGAACAATCCTCTCCAACACAAACCAGAATCTCCCATCACCACTGTCACCATCACCAATTAAAACCATTCAGTGCTTTGACGGCTTGCATGATTCTGAAGACTGAAATCCTAGGCATGGCCTGCAAGCAAGGGCCCCTCATCTGTGTCCTAGAGCCCCTGCAGCCTTACCACCCTCACCCGCCTTGTCCCCCCTGCTCCAGTCCATGGCCCTTACTCCAACACCTTCTGCCCACCATGCCCCAGGCCCCTCCCCCCAGGAGCCTACTCAGTCTGTCTTCCAACCCTTACCCACCTAAGTCGTACTTACCATTTGGACCTCCACCCTGTCATCACTTCTTTCCCAGAGCCTACAGTCAAGGTCAACTCCTTTCCCATGTTGGCTCTCATTACCCAGCAGACCTCTCTTTTGCAGGGCCTAAGCACCTACTGAGTGCATGTGCCCACGATTGTATGGTGAACTGATGAATACAATTCTCTCTCCAGATGATAGCTCTATGAGGGTGGGAACCATGTCTGGTCATCACCTCCAATACAAATCCTAGCAGATACAGGCTAGATTAAGATTTGTCAAAGGAAATAAACATCAATCTCTAGTTTTGTGATGACCCAAACCTCCGTTTCTTGCCAAGGTCTTCCCAAGAGAAATAAAAATTTTACCATATTCTTAGTATAGTATTTCCTCAACTTGGACCGTTATTTACCTTGGCCTGTGTACTCTCCTGTTTCCCACTCCCTGCTCTCCTTGTCTGAATCCTTTTGCTGAGAAACGTCCATATGCAATAAACTGGGGAGTTTTCCCCCGTGTTTCCCTAAAATTCTGGGAATACATGAGTCGTATGCTTGTTTGCTTACACAAGTCTGACGTGCATCTGCTCTCCTAAGACAAGGACACCTAAATAAAGTCCACACTGCCTCTATCAGTTTCTTGACTCCAGAGAAGAGCCCATGGATCATTCTCCTCAATATGTTAAAATACATATTTAGGGGCCTGTGCTGTGGTGTAGTAGGTTAAGCCTCTGCCTGCGGCACTGGAATCCCATCTGGGTGCTGGTTCATGTTCTGGCTGCTCCTCTTCCAATCCAGCTCTCTGCCGTGGCCTGGGGAAGCTGTGGAAGATGGCCCAAGTGCTTGGGCCCCTGCCCCCATGTGGGAGACCCTGAAGAAGCTCCTGGCTCCAGGCTTCAGATCAGTCCAGCTCTGGCCATTGCAGCCAATGGGGAATGAACCAGTGGATGGAAGACCTTTTTCTCTCTCTCCCTCTCTCTGTCTGTAACTCTACCTCTCAAATAAACAAATAAAATCTTTTTAAAAAATGCATATTTAAATTAATTAGTTATTTATATTTGAAAGGAAGAGAGAGACAGACAGGCAGCAGAGGGCCCCCATCTGTTGGTTCACCACAGCAGCTGGGGATGAACCAGGTCTAGGAGGGAGTCAGGAGCTCAGTTCAGATCTCCTGCATAAGTAGCAAGGATCCAAGTACTTGAGTCACCACCTGCTGCCTCCGTTAGCAGGAAGCCAGAATGAGGAGTGGGTCTGGGACCCACAGCCAGGCACTCTAATGTGAGTTGCAAGCATCGCAAGTGTCAACTGGCACACCAAACACATGCCCCTAAAACACACTTTTTAACGTCTTAATTCGGATGAAATCTTAGGCACTCCCTTGTATGGAGGAGGAGACTTTGAGAAGGAGGATTGGCAGGAGAACTGATGGTGTCAGTGGAAGAGACTCAAAGGATTACACATGAAACTGAGGGTGGACAGACAGGGTGAGATAAGGCAAGATCTTCACAGCACAGAGAGGTCAGGCCCTCCCCTCATCCCCAGGCTGCCCACACCCATATTCCCCCGACCTGAAATGATCTTTGTCCTTTGGTTAAGAGGGAGGTGCACCTGTGTCCCCCACCACACAGCCAGTTATGTCCCTAGAGTAACAGCATTTAGCATCTGGTGCTTTGGAAATCCCGCCCAGCCTGTGATGAATGAGTTATTATTGGCACATTCTTGAATGTCATCGGGTGTTTTTAAACAGCTATTACAGCGAGGATATGTGGAGGTCCAAGAAAAGTCTGTAAACACTGGGAAATTTATTTATCTGCTTGCTCTGTGACAGCTGGGCCAGCTTCCACATGCCAAGTGCTTCGGGGCAGGGTCAGATCAAGGTTTCAGATGGTCACCAGCGGGGAGCGACTATTTTGGGGGCACAGGTCGTGGGAATGGCTTCCAGTTCTAAGCTGGCGTCAGTGCCTCTCCCATAACGTTGCCTTTAGTCTCATGTATCACGGTCATCAACAATCCCATCAAATTTGGGGAAATCCTCTGAAATCTTTGTTTAAAGATCCACATGAGGTGCTGCCATATAAACCTACGAGATAAACGGACCCACCTTACAGCAGATGGGGCCTCTGCCACCTCTCATGGAAGTGGGGGAGAGGAAGGGAAACTTCTAAACACCTTGGACTTTCTAGTCAATTACATTTTACGTTTCTGATTTGCACCGGCTTTTAGTAGTTCCATGCCCCTTTCAAAAACTGCAACTGCAGAAAATAGAGAAAATCCACATATAAGTTCAGGGGCAAGCGTTTGGCAGAGGGCTTAAGATGCCACCTAGGGTTCCTGTATCCCATGTCAGGGTGCCTGGGCTCGAGTCTTGGCTCCTCTGCTTCCAGTCCAGCATCCTGAAGGCACACCCAGCAAGCTAATGATGATGAGTCAGGTCACCAGGGCCCTGCCACCCAGGTGGGAGACACACTTGAGACTCCTGGCTTTGGCCTGGCCCAACTCTAACTGTAGCAGGCATTTGGGGTGTAAACCAGTGGATGGAGATCTCTCTGTGTCTGTCTGTCTGCCTCTCTCCCTCTTTGTCTTTCAAATAAATCACATGATTTTTCTAAAAAATAAAAGTTCAGGAGCCAGCACTGAGGTGCACTAGATTAAGCATCCCATGTGAGCGTCAGTGCGAGTCCTGGCTATGCAACTCCCAAGCCAGCTCCCTGCTAATGCACCTGGGAAAGCAGCAGAAGAGGGTCCTAGTGCTGGAGCCTCTGCACCCACGTGGGAGACCCTGGATGGGGTTCCAGGCTCCTGGCTTCAGTCTGGCCCAGCCCTGGCAGTTTTGGCCATTTGGAGAGAGAACAGGTAGATGGGAAATATCTCTCTCTCTCTCTCTCTCTCTCTCTCTCTCATCTTTCTTTCTGTCTTTCTCTTCTGCTGTCTCTCCCACTCTCTCTTTTTAACTCCGTTTTTCAAATAAAAACAAATTTTTTAGAAAATAAAACAAAAGTTCAAATTTCCATAGGGTAAAGAGCTGAGTTTTGAAGTGGTTTTTTGGAAGATATTTCCTAGCTGAGTGAATAACTGGGAAAGCTTCTGGTCACGTGGCCAACAGGAAGTCCACGTAGCTCCATTGCTTCTTTTTTTTTTTTTTTTTTTTTTGACAGGCAGAGTGGACAGTGAGAGAGAGAGACAGAGAGAAAGGTCTTCCTTTTGCCGTTGGTTCACCCTCCAATGGCCGCCGCGGCCGGCGCGCTGCGGCCGGCGCACCGCGCTGATCCGATGGCAGGAGCCAGGAGCCAGGTGCTTTTCCTGGTCTCCCATGGGGTGCAGGGCCCAAGCACCTGGGCCATCCTCCACTGCACTCCCTGGCCACAGCAGAGGGCTGGCCTGGAAGAGGGGCAACCGGGACAGAATCCGGCGCCCCGACCGGGACTAGAACCCGGTGTGCCGGCGCCGCTAGGCGGAGGATTAGCCTAGTGAGCCGCGGCGCCGGCCTTCCATTGCTTCTTCATTTTCTGTCCAGGGTGGACAGGAAACTGATCAAGGGCAGGTGACTTAAGATCTTTTGAAGAATAGCAGGAAACAATTCCAGCCACTGATTTTCAAACTTTAATGTATAATAGGACCACTTAGAGGTGCTATCAAACTGCAGACTGTCAGACTTATATATCACATGGCCCAGGAATCTGCATTTCCTGTGAGTATTTCATGCAATTGCAAAGTAGTCTGAGGAGAACCATGACAGGAAAGCTAAAATCACAGTAGGAAAAAAGTAATAATTCATTCCAGTATGAAATATTGCAAAAAAACCATGAGTACAAAACAAATATCAAGTAAAGAATGTATCCAAGAGAAATTCTGGTTATTGGAAAGTTGAGTTCCATCCAAGCATCAGACAAGACCAAGGTTAGCTTAGCAGAAGCTGCAAATAACTGCCAAGTAGTAAAGGGCACCAAGCTCTGGTTGTAAAGGGAAGGAAAACTCAACTCTAAGTGGTTTAACAAGAATGGTCAAAAATCTCTTGGAGGGCTGGCACGGTAGCACAGCGGGTTAAGCCACTGCCTGCGAGGCTGCCATTCCATGTCAGAGAGCCAGTTCGAGTCTCCGCTTCCAATCCAGCTCCCTGTTAATATTGCTGGGAAGGCAGCAGATGATGGCCCAAGTACTTGAGTCTCTGCACTGACATGGGTGACTTGGATGGAGTCAGCCATTTGGGGAGTGAACCAGTAGGTAGAAGAACTCTCTCTCTCTCTCTCTCTCTCTCTCTCTGCCTTTCAAATAATAAATAAATATTGTTTGAAAAAATTCTCTTGGTCCATGTAAACAGAAGCTGTAGTGGTAGCACTGGTCCTCAGAGGGGCCAAAGGCCCCAGCAACATGACTTAAACTCAGCCTCTCTGTCTCTGCCTCTCAAGCATTATACTCCTGCAGCCTTGGTTCTTTAGCTTTGATCTTGGGCAAAAGATACCTTTCTGAAGTTCCAATGTGTCATATTGGATTCCAAGTCTATGAAAAAGAGACCTCGTCTTTCCTGGTTATTAAAAATA